TTTTCCACCTTCATGCACCTTCTGCTGTATTCTGTCCATTCCAGCACTGGCCCTTTCTGTGGGTGGATGGGCAGAGGATACAGTTTCCTGCATGACTGTTTGCTCATGATTCATACTTCTAAATGAAAGTACAACTGGTAGAAAAAAAGGATTTCTGGGTCTTCAATTAAGAAAAAAATTATTAATACAGGTACAGGGGTGGGGGAAGTGTATGTATCTTGCTAGTCTCCCTAGGGCCTGGTATATTCTGTGGAAGGTATCCACCCTTTAGGACTCAGGTCTTGACAACTGCTTGTCGTCAAATCAAGGAAAGACAGAAATTGTGCTAACTGACTCGCAAGAGTCTCCAAGGATCCCCCAGCAGCTCAGGCCAGCCCCTAGAGATGACCTAGGAGACTTTCCTGAAGAGCCAGTCCCCTTCTCCATCTCTTGATGTTGGTTGTGGGTCACAGTGCCCTTCATTTGAGCTACTCACCTGCCTGCTCTCCTTAGGCAGCAGGAGGGAGGCCCGGAGTACACACTGGGTTCTCTGGTGAATACTGCCTGGTGGGTTTCCAAGGCAGCCAGGACTGCTGTCAACTCAGATGAGGAAGCGAGAACGCCTGGGTCAGCTACCCTTCAAGGGTCTGAGCTCCTGGGGACCGAGGTGACCGGGGACATAGGAAAAGGACTCTCCCTCCCTACTTCCTCCAAAGGAGAGTTATCAAAGCCGCCCACCTGGGACCCCTTTCCCTTCCCAGCCCCTCCCTGTCACCAGTACCAAAAGGAAGCAGGAAAACATCTGTCATCACAGCCCCGGATGTGGATTTTCCAGTGGCTCCTATCAGGATATCCCCCAGCCTTTTCCCAAGGGCTTAGGGATTTGGAAAAGTCAAAGATCTGGAGAGCAAGTGGTGACATTGCCAGCACCACTGTGGAAATCTGGCCTTGGGGAGGCTGAATCTCTAACTGATCCCAGACTAGTTTTAGAAGATCTAGTCAGCTCCCAGCCAGTCCCAGAGAGGGCCCATTACAAACCCCAGAGGACAGCATGTGCCCTTGGGCGACCTTGCAGTGCACACCTCTGCTCAGGTTACAGCCAGGTCTCTGGAGGAACTGAGTCGTCACCGACACCTCCTCTCCCCTGGGTATCTATTTCTCTCTTGGGGATGGGTATGCTTGGGGAGCAGGAGAGGAGGGTTAGTGGACAACAGCCAGGACTGGGGACGCTGATGGACAACTCAGCTCCTTTTCAGAGCCAGGTAGGGCTACCTTCGAAAACTGGAAACTCCCGAGTTTAGCTTCTCTGGCCTCCCTACTTTCTCTTTGCCCTTGGCAGTAAGAACAAAGAAGGGAAATTTCAAAGGTGATTTCCAGGTTTCCAGAGAAAAGTGAATAGCTGCAGATGAACTGTCAATGTGTGCCTGCGTGTTGGTGTGGTTGCAAGGCAGCCCTGAGGGCAGGTGAAGAAAGCTGGCTCACCAGAGTCTCCACTCCTTCACTGGAGGATCTAAGGCTGACTTGACGCTGCTGGGGCTTTGGTGGTTCCCTGGGCCAAGGGGGCATATGACACAGCCAGGAACAGAAACCAGAACTCTCATGCAGGTCGCCTGGCATCAAAGTCACCCTGGCTGAGGGTTTCTTCCATCTCACATTTGGCAAAGGCTGCTAGGCAGAAAGGTGTCCTGTGTGGTATCCAGCACTGTGCCCTGCGTGTGCCTGTGCCCCTGAATAATAGATGCCGCCAACTCCTAGCATTCTGGGGACACAGTCAGGGGGGCAGCTGTGTCTGAAACAGGCCTAGGAAGTAATGAGCTCTACTTTGGCTCTGCACATTGAGCTACTTGGCCTGAAAGTCCTTTATTTTAGGGGAGTCTCTCTCCTAGTTAGCCTGGCCACCCCATCCCCATACATGAAAGTCAAAGAGAGGGATGTATGAAAGCAGAGTTATCGGCGCCATGGGAGTCACTTTGGCAGACAGCCAGGGTTGAGTTGAGGAGTGGGCACAGTCCAGTGTGGCAAGGGTAATCCTCTGCCACTGCCTAGCTACCTCTTGTGTACCCTGCAAAACTCCAAACACACCCAGGAAGAGTCAGGAGGGGCCAGGGACTAACTGTGGATTCTCAGGGTTGGAGGAGTGGGCAAAGTAGATACCCAGTGGTATCCTGGAGTCCAAAGAGATCACTCACTTCTCAAGGGGTTCAGGTCAAAGATACCCAGCACCCCATTAGGGATCAGGTCCCATGAACTCATCTGGGGCAAGCCGGAGGAGCAAAAACAGCATCTGGAAGTGTCTTCTGAACTGCCCCCAGTCCTGAGGCTGGGGAGTTGATTTCAGAGCTCAGCACTAAATGGAATTAAGTGTAATTACAGCCCTGATCCACATCTCACTCTGTGCGTCCTCCTCAGCAGGGGCGGGGAATGGGGAGTGGTCCCAGACTGGGTCCAAACAAACGTCCAATTCCTGGGTTTCTGACAGCTCTTGGGCCATAGTGGGCTGTGGGGAGCAATGCCCCTCCCTGGGGACTTGCAGATAGCCCTCTGCTGCAGGTAGGGCCCGGGCCCCAGGCCCCAGTGCTGTAACTGTCTAGCTGAGAACCCAGCAGAACACAGGCAGAGGCATCAGGAGACTGGACGTTGGCACAAGCCCTCGGGACAGGGACTGAAGGAAGTCTTCTAAACCACTGATGCTGAAAGAAGACTTTAATGTGCACAAAGAAACCTCACATTAGTGACAGGGAGAGAGAGGAAGGAGGGTGGGGAGTACTGAGGCCCAGGGAAACCAGAGCTATGGAGACATAGGCCTTAGGGAAGAGGAGATGGCTAGGAGGAGGGAGGCCTGAGGGGTGGGCCAGGCAGAGAGGCCCATCCCTTGCCAAGAGGTGCGCGCGGGTCAGGGGCGGTGGCCGGCTCTTGCTTCATCAGGCTGGTCAGCATGTGGCCTTCTCTGGCCTTGATTCTTCGCTTCCTCCAGTTCCTTGAGTCTATTCACTTCCTGCTGGAGCCAGGAGCCCTGGGCTATCCTGACCCTGTTCCTTCAGATGTCTTTCCAGGGGCTGCAGTACTGGGCCTGCAGCCAAGGAGAGAAGCAGCTGTGAGGGCCTGGGCCCAGGTGCTGCCCACTGCCCTGCAGCTCCCCGGACTGGCAGTGTCCACTCAGCACTCATCACAGGCTCATGCCAGGTGCCAAGTGAGCAGGATGCCGGGTTCATAGTCCTGGCGGGGACACAGCGGTCAACAGGCTATGTGACCATATAAGTGGTCTGCCAGGGCCCCTCTACCAGGCCCCGAATCACTTTTCCCTCTTCTCATGACAAGCACACTGCTCCCACCAGAGGCTGGTGAGATCTAGTTCCGTGGGGAGTGAGGGTAAGCTTCGCTCCTCAGCTTTCTCAGAGACTTGGCGAAATATGAGACCCAAGCCACATCCTGTGGCCAATGTGTCAGCCCTAAGTCAGAGGTTATAGGGGAAAGACGAGAGGAGTCTGAGGACAGGCAGGTTGGAAGTGGAGGGGCACTGGTGGTGGGGTGGTGGGTGGTCCTCATCAGGTCCTGTGTTCCTCCATGGAGGGCTGGGGGCTCAGGAAGGGAGGAGACCCTAAGCTGGCCCCGCTACTTGTTGGAGAGAAGGGGCCAGAAGGGAGGGCACCAGCACAGGGGCTGCAGCTGGTTAGGTCAGAGGCTTGGGAGTCAGGCTGGCTTATGCCAATTCTGACATTCACACACGCTGCCTGCACAATGGGGCAAGCCACCGAGCCTCTCGGGGTCTGCTTATCTGTAAAATGGGCTCCTGACAACACTTGCCTCATGGGGGTTGTGTGGGTTCTTATAGAAATGGATCTTCATTCAAGAAATACTAGCTGTGGGCCGGGCATGGTGGCTCACACCTGTAATCCCAGCACTTTGGGAGGCTGAGGTGGGCAGATCACGAGGTCAAGAGATCGAGATCATCCTGGCCAACATGGTAAAACCCCATCTCTACTAAAAATACAAACATTAGCTGTGCGTGGTGGCACACGCCTGTAGTTGCACCACCGCACTCCAGCCTGGTGACAGGGTGAGACTCCGTCCCCCCACAAAAAAGAAAGAAATACTAGCTGTGAATATCACATCTAGAAGCTCTGAGGAAAGTTGGTAGGGGTGTGGGGTGCAGCGGAGAGGACCACGGCAGCCTGTGAGCCTTCCTCCTAACACAGTAGGAGGCCAGCCTCAGGCTCACAGCACAGGTGGGCAGAAGCCAGACCAGCTGGGGCCCCTTCCTGGCACTGCTCATAACAGAATGGCACCCTGGGTCCAGACTCTTCCCTCTCCAGGGCAATTTTTCTTTGCATTTCCTGAGGACTACACTTCTCTGCATCCCCTTCCCTCCAAATCCACCCTGGGCGCTGGATTTTTTTTTTTTTTTTGAGACAGAGTCTCGCCCTGTTGCCCAGGTCGGAGTGATTTTGGCTCACTGCAACCTCCACCTCCCAGATTCAAGGGATTCTCCTGCCTCAGCCTCCCGAGTAGCTGGGATTACAGGTGCGTACCACCATCCCCAGCTAATTTTTCGTATCTTTAGTAGAGACAGGGTTTCACCATGTTGGCCAGGCTGGTCTAGAACTCCTAACCTTGTGATCTGCCCTCCTCGGCCTCCCAAAGTGCTGGGATTACAGGCGAGAGTAATGTGCCTGGCCTTTGGCACTGGATTCTTTATAAGAATGAGGAATGCCCCCCAAAGTGCTCCCACCTTTCCCCCACATGCTCACTCCATCCATGTGCCTGCCAGGAGCTCAGCAGCTGCAGTGGGGGTGGATGCGCTGCTGGCTCTGGCCAGCCCTGCCTGACCGCTTCCCGCCCCTCCCAGGTCTGGGGGCTGGAGGGGATACCACCTGGGGCTGGCAGTGGGTCAGCAGCTCCTGCCAACGGATGTAGGTCTGGGTAGCCAGGTCCTTGAGCATGGTGTGGTGCATGGCCTGGGGGCTCTCCCGGATCTGCGTGCTGATATGGCGGTCCAACTGCATGCACAGCAGCTGCAGCTCGCCCTGCGGAAGTGGAGGGAGGCCAAGGGCCGGGTGCAGCCCAGGCCAGGTGCATCCAAAGCAGGGCAGGAGGAGAACAAATTCAGAGAAAGGAAGGGGCACATTTGAGTGACTGCTCAGAAGTTGAGAAGGAAAAGGAGGACGGGGCCAGCACAACTGCTGGGGCTTGGGTCAGTGTCCCTTGGGAATGGCTCAGCTGGTGGGACACCATGGGGAGGAAGAGGCCCTGGTTCCCCCAGGCTGGCTTCTCTCTCAGCCTCCCACTCTCCGCAGTTCCTAACAGTGGGCTGGGTGCCAACTCAGCCATCCCCACACTGCTTGCGGGCACCCCACCCCAGCCCCACCCCTTGGAGACTCACCCACTGTTCTGGAGTGATGTCCTGGCAGCTGACCACCACCCCGGCCAGCATCAGGAGGCTGTGGCACAGGTAGTAGGCCTGGAGGAAGAGCATGGGGAGAACTGCTTCTCTAACTCCGCCCAGGGCTGTATGGCAGGCCCTCCACCTGCACGCTGCTGTCAGGCGCATTGGGCCAGGGCAGGGGCTCAGCCCACCCCTAGGCTTTCAGTGACAGTTTCCAGGGAGGCATCTTCAAGGGGGCCTGGGTGAGCCAGGCTCTAGGTCCGCAGGCACTTGGAGCTGTGACTCCCCGGCAGGCACTCCTAGCCCGGCCTCTGATGAAGGGCTGTCCTTCCTTCCTCCAGAATCAGGAGGAGTCAGCCATCCAGAAATGCACACTGTCCCCCAGCCTTGTGCTGGGGCAGCAGAGGGCACCTTCGGGGGAGAAAATTTCATCCACTCTGACCTCTGCAGTCTCTGTTTCCTGGGCTGACCTTACCATAGGCACTGTGGTCAGGGTGCCTCTGTGCAAACAGCAAAGGGAGGAAGTCCCCTCTGGAGGGATGTGGCCCATGGCCCCACAGCTCCTGGACTCGGCTTACCCCTTGGCAGAATGCCACCTGCACCAACACGGATGCAGCCTGCCTGGACAGTTGCCTTGCTGACTCAAGGAGGCAGGTAAAGAGACGGGAGCTGGTGGGAGATGGTTTTGGCTGAGTGTCTGCACACCTCGCCTCCACCCTCATTCCTGCCAACTGCGCACTCTTAGCAGTGAAAATGGGATGCAGGCCTGCTCCATCTGGCCTGAGAACAATTTGATGTTGAGGCATCCCTGGACTCTCTTGGTACCCAATCGATTATAGGACACGTGCTTGCTGTTTGGAGAAACCAAGCCATGGGGAGTGTCCGAAGGAGTGAGGCTCCTGAAGGGACACAACCTGCCCTGGACTCCCAACTACTGCCCATAGGTGCGCCCTTCCACAGAGGCCCCTGCTGCCTCGTCCTCTCAGCTCTTTCTTTGTGTCTAGGATCGGTGGCAGATGACCAGCCTCAAGGACGAGCAGGAATGGGAGAGGCAGGCTCTAGAGATGTCGGCAGGTGAGAATGGGCTGGAGCTGAGAGCCAGACCACAGCCCCTGTGCCCTAGCTTCCCCTGCCCTTATCACCCTCTGCCCTCCCAGGGTGCCAGGTGGTGCCCCAGCAATGGCCGAAGCTTCTTTGCACAGGCCCAGGAGTCTCCTCAGGACAGAAGCCAGACCACTTCTGAGGGCCTCAGATTTAGTACCATCAACTGATTCTTTAACCCAAATAACACCATGCAAAATCCTGAGGTTGGAGGCCACCTGGGGCTCCCATCAGCAGCGCCCACCCTGCCTGGGATCCCAGCCAGTTCTTCAACACGACAGCTAAGGCCCACAGCTGGCCTGACTCCACAGGCTGACCAGGTGGCCCTGCACATGGCAGGCAGAGAAGACATGGTGGGGGAAACCGAGGCATGCATCCAGGGGAGCTGCCCGGGGGAGGGGAAGACCCAACCTCACTGAAGCCCAGCTCCCCCTGCCTGCCGGGTCCCTGCAGCTGCCTGAGTCTGGCTTGCTGGCAATGCACTGCTGGCTCCCTCAGTGCCCCTTCCCTCCAACCTGGCCTTGCCTTCAGGACTCCGCCCAGCCCTCTGCAGTCGGCAACAGCTCACTGCCCGCTTGGCATAAAGCAGGTTCTGGCCTGTGTGCCAGACACTGTGCCTAGACTGATAAATGGTGACATAAGACAAATTCAGACATCAGAGGGAGAAAGATACTTCAGGAGGGCAGCCATTTGGTCAGGAAATACCATATCTCTGCTTGTGCATAGACCAAAAGGAGAAAAGGCCCTTCCAGGGTTTTTGGGGGATGGGAGAGTACAACTTAGAGGCTTCAGGGAGGAAGTGACTAAGCTAAAGTGGGCCTCAAAGGAACAGTAGGAGTTGAGGCAAAGATGGCCCTGTACAGGCAGAAGGAGGCTAGTAACAGACCCTAAGGGTGCGTCTAGAAACAGAGGCCGAGGCAGGTGTAAGGCGGTGGGGGTGACCTGGGGGCAGAGTTGTGGGGAAAGGCTGGGAGGGTCTTGGGGAGGCAGGTGATAGAATGTGGCCACAATGGAGTGCTGGAATGTACTAGGTAGTATGAAAATGGGTTCTGTCTGGGAGAAAGGATTTCAGGATATCCTTATCTTTTCCTTTTTCCCTTTTTAAGATTCTTCCTTTTTTTTGAGATGAAGTTTCACTCTTGTTGCCCAGGCTGGAGTGCAATGGTGCAATGGTGTGATCTTGGCTCACTGCAACCTCTGCCTTCTGGTTTCAAGCGATTCTTCTGCCTCAGCCTCCCAAGTAGCTGAGATTACAGACCCCTATCACCACACCTGGCAAATTATTTTGTATTATTAGTAGAGACGGGGTTTCTCTATGTTGGTCAGGCTGGTCTCGAACTCCCAACCCCAGGTGATCCGCCTGCCTCAGCCTCCCAAAGTGCTGGGATTACAGATGTAAGCCACCGTGCTCGGCCTTTATTTCTCTACCATGTGCGTACTCATACAGTGGGAATACAATGAAAGTTGGTTTAAAACAATTTTTTTTAACAAGGTACTGCTAATTGTAATTCACTGAACCTAACTGGGTTTGGGGTGGGTGTGGGGCAAGGGAGCAGGACTTGGCCATGAAAAGTAATTGAGACCCAGGCTGGGCAAGGTGGCTCACACCTGTAATCCCAGCACTCTGGGAGGCTGTGGCTCAGGAGTTTGAGACTAGCCTGGGCAACATAGAGAGACCCCATCTCTACAAAAAAACAAAACCAAAAAGTTACCCAGCATGGTGGTAACCTGTAGTCCCAGTTACCTGGGAGGCTGAGGCAGGAGGATCACTTGAGCCTGGGAGGTTGAGGCTGCAGTGAGCTGTAACTGCCACTGCACTCCAGTCTGGGAAACAGAGCAAGAGCTGGTCTCAAAAAAAAAAAAAAAGAAGCCGAGGCTCCTCTTTGAGAGGGCAAGCTAATGCTGAGGAGGCAGGGACGCTGAAGAAAACAACCAAGGGTTATCAGGGCCATCAAAGGCACCCTGGGCTCTTTGCGAGGGAGAATGTGCGGGCCTGGGAGGGAGCCTGTCCCTCTCAGACCTTTCATTCCCAGTCCCTGGAGGCACAGCTCAGTGGCCTGCCCCACCCATGGGCTCATGGGGGCGTCTGCTTGTATGGCAGAAGCTGCAGAACTTCCCCTCCTAGAAGGAAGGGTGCTGAGGGTCTGAGATCTCAGGAATGCCCTGGAGGAATACCAGGAAGGAAATCTGTCAGGACCTCCACCAGGCAGTGGAGAGTTACTGGTTTCACAACTTGTTTCTTATGCTGATTCCCATAATTGAATCTGCAGGGGGCAGGGAGTGGGGGGAGGGAATCCCAGGAAAACTATTCCTAGTGTTTGGGTGGTTAGTGAGTAGGAAATGGCAGTCCTAGAGAAAAGCCCTGTTAAACCACATTGTGTAAGCTGTTTTTTCCAAAAGGAAAAAACTAAACCTGCCACTGGGTACAGTTTTCCTTGCATTTGAGGGTGTTCCCTGTAGTAGGGTCTAAGTGAGGGGAAGCCCTTTAAGGAAGACACTGACCCAATTTAAGGAGATTGGGGGCTGTGCAGAGCCCCTCCCTTGGAGCATCCAGGGGGGCTTGGCTGAAGCTGGGTTCCCAGTAGGGATTCTGAAAAGAAGCCTTCATTATTAGCATGGGAAACACCCACACTTCCATCTCCTCCCCGAATTTCCCCAGGACTCATGGTTTCAGGGGTGCAAAGGGTAAGAGGGAGTCCAGTCCTGTCCAAACAATGGGTAAGGATTTCCCACCCTGCCACCAGACTCCTCTCTCTCTGAAGGTCAGAGGAACAAAAAACTTCAGTAGAAACTGGGGACTCTGTGGCTGGGAGCAGGGAGACCCTGAGTCTCCCCATCTAAACTGCCAGCAGCTGGGAGAGCAGGGGCAGGCCCAGGAGGGGTGCAGGGGTGGGCAAGTGAGGGGGCCCTTCCCAGCAAGACAAGGGCCCCTGTGAGAGCTGCACTTCCTGCTTCCTTTGCAGTGTGACCAATTCCTGAACTTAGCAAGCCTGCTTCTGTCCTGACTGCCACCTCCGAGGCATGGCGCTTTGTCTTCCCTTCCAGGAGGCAGGAGAGGGAGGTTGGGCCAAGGCCGCACTTCCTGCCTTACCTGCTTCCTCTCCCTCTGGGAACATAAGGTGGCCCTTCCAGGGAGGCCCTTCCAGGTCTCTTAGAACTGTTTGGTGTGGTGGGGATGTCAGTTTGCCTCAGGGTTAGCCCTTGGTGGGCGCTAGGAGGCTACACTCCTTCAGGCCTCAGGACCTTGTCTGAAGATGGGACCCTGGCCAGCTAGGGCAGCCTAGCTCCTCCCTCATGGCACATTAGTCAGGCGGGGAAGCCCTGATGGGAAATGGGACCCCAGAAACCTCAGTCAACATCGTAGGGACAGGCCGAGTCTGCAGGCATGCCCAGATCTGACGAGAAAGCTGGGCCTGTTCCTGCCGCCGCTGCCAGCAAGGCCCACAGCTCCCATTTTCTGGGTCTTTCCCCAGAGTCTGGTGGGCTGGCTCTTCTCAGAAGTTCCATGCAGGAATGCCTCACTCCTGGCTCTAGAGTCTTAAAAGCAGGTCATGCCCTCCCGCTGGGGAAGGAATGATAAGGCTGAGTGATGACAGAGAGCAGTCAGGGACTGTCACCAGAAGAAGGGAGGTCAGCGTCTCCATGTTCTAGTCCAACTAGTTCTGACCCAGGCACCTCCAGCTAAGACTCCCAAGTTAAGCAGTATCCATTAGCAGCGCTTTTGTCATAGACAAAAGGGAAAAGGGTGGACATTTCCCAGGAACTTCATCCTTTAGAAAATTCCCCTCTAGCCAATGCCAAGGGAGTAGGCTGTGGCCTGCGCTATTTACGCTGAAGGAGGGCAGGAAAGGAGGAGGGAGAGGCTCTCCCAGGAAGCCACTCATGCTGGCCAGAACATATAACCTTTCTTCCCCCTCAGGTCATAACAAAGAATCCAGTCTTACCCTGGGCAAGTCTTCAAACCAAGCCCTCTCCTGAAGGCTGCCAGACCGGGTGTGGCAGACAGACCTTGTCTCTGGCAGGAGGACCCTGCGGGAGCAGGTCCAGCCAGGCTCTGGGGCAGCTGTTGTGTGTGTGTTGTGGGGAGAACCGAGGCTGACCCAGGAACATCTGCTGGGAAGGACAAAGATGGACCCAAAGGGCATGGCTCTCCCAGCCAGGCTGCTGTGGCCCAGGGGAATCAACCCTAGGCATCCCTGCCTCTCACTCAGGAAGCTGTCTCTGATGTCTGCTCGTGCTGGGATTCTGGCCTGGGGTACCAGAAATCAGGGCGGTCCCCATGTTTTCCCCTTTTGATGCTCATGGGCCCTGGGTGGTGGCCGCCTAGGAGCATGTATACAGCCCTAGGCAATCTCACGAGCCTAGAGGTCCAGCCTAGCCCAGGAGAAGCATGCTGTCTTAGGTGTCATCATTGCCACACGAGTCCTCTTAGGACTGAAGATGGACTCTAGAGCCAGTGGAGTCTGGGAGAGGCTGAAGCTGCACTGGTCTACCCGGGCCCTTTCAGACCCAAGGCTGTGGCTGGCCACAATCCTTTTTTCCCTTTTTTGGTTCAATTTAAACCTATGTAGTACCACTTCACAGCATCCTGGTGCAGTAGGGCAGGCAGAGAGGGCCTGGGACCCTGCCTTCAGCAGACACGGAAGCTGCAGTGTGGGGAGGTCCCCTGATGTGCATGACCCTGTGTTGAGGAAGGGCAGGTCTGGCCCAAGAGCAGATGTCTGGGCTCTGAGCCTTCAGCAGGACAAGCTCCCCAAGTGTGCGTGGGTGGTGGTGGGGTCTCTAAAGAGGACTCACACTGTGGACATCCCCCTTGGGAGAAAGCAGGGGTCCACAGGATAGGGCAAGGCTGAGGCTGCTCCGCCAGGGTGGAGGAGGAAGGCCCTTTGCAGCCTGGGCCCCCGGGGCATGGTCTAGGTATCCACACAGGTTGAGCACAACAATTAGTCATGAGTAATTCGAGGTAGGGCTACTCAGGCCCCAGGCCAAGAGCTTCAGTCTGGGGAGGGAGCTAGAGGGCAGGTGACTGGTATGTCCATTAGGACACCAGGCAAGAGGGGATGCATTTTTCTAGGTACATGCCATCTGAGCCTATCCTGGAGTGTGGCACTGGCCACCAGGATGAGGCTGGCATGTCTTCTCTGCCCCATGAACAGATCACATAACCTCTCTTCCCCTTGCCCAGGCAACTTCTGCTCCAAGGTCGCACCCCCTGACCTTGACTTTGGCAGGCACTAAAGAAGGAAGCAGAGGGCGGTTGTGAAAGTTCTGTTCCCAAAGCCAAGCTGACTTGAGAAGCGACTCTGACCAGGACAGGTCACAGTGAGGAAGAAATTAGGACATATGACTGACCACTAGGAAATGAGGTGGGTGACCTAAGACCTCTTCCCAACCCAGGGTCCCGGAAGACACGGCTAAGAGGCCAGAGAGCAGGTGTCACTGATGGGGCCTGCCAGACTCCTCACAGGGTCTGCCACCTAATTCTGTCAATGAAAGTGCCTGCTAGGGCATGGGGTGGGGGTGGGTGGGATCCTAAACATGGAGCAGGGATGACACCCATTTAGAGTGATGGGAGACGGGCTGGCAGCAGCTGGACAGGTAGGACTTCCAGCTCCACTGCAGAGAATGGCCATTGAATGGAAGTTTGCTTTTGAGCCCTGCTGGGCAGAGGTGGGTGTCTCTTTCCAGGCTGCAGAGGCCTTGGGGCCCAGCACATGCCCACACCCTCTACGTCCTCAGAACTGGAGCCCTTGCCTGCACCTCTGGCTTCCCCGAAGTGAGTTCAGAGATCTGAGACCCTTCACAGTGGGGCTCTCCTAAGTTCTACCCCAAGGTGGGGCCTGGGCCCTGAGCAACCCTGGCTTCTGCTTACAGGGAGGGAATATGGAGGCCGTGGTGCACAGGGCTGGAGGGAAAGGGATGGAAGGCTACGGGTCTGCATGGGGAGGTTACCTCAGAGCATCTCCCTACTCTTGTCTGCTGGTGGCAGGAGCCAAGGCATTGGAGGCGAGGCCTTGCTGGAGGGCAGAGGGCTCCCACCCAGCCCACCTTCCTCTCTGGCTTCCTGCTGGTGGGGGTTGGGGAGATGAGAGGCAGGGATTGGCTGGATCTTCTTGCTCCTCCAGCTAGGACCAGAGACCTTGACCCCAGGGAGATCTGGACCAGAAAACCTAGCTCTGCCGACTGCCCAGAGAGGGCCAAGATTCTCGGTGCATATGTATAAGAGTTCACGCCTGTACACATGTGTGTTGGTGTATGTGTCAGTGTGCGTGTGAGCGTGTGGGGTGCAGGAGGGGGTCACTGACACCAGCAAGGGTGTTGTTTCCTCAGTGGTTTCCCCATGGCTTCCCCCTCTTGTCTTTCGCTTTTTCACTTACTGAATTGTCTCCAGGGCGTTGGCACAGCTGGCCAGAGCCTTGGACTGCCCTCCTCATCCTTCCCAGAGCACAAGGCCACTGCCCATGACTGAACCACAGGGATGCTGTGGACGTCCAGGGGTCCTGTCCTTTCCTTTCCCTTACTTTGTAAGAGCGTCCCAGCCTCCTGTCCCCTACACTTAGGCCAAACTGTTCCATGGTGGTGACTCTACCCTGACTCAAGGGGTGGACACATGTCGCAGGCTGGCTATTCACTTTACGCTAGCTTGGCAATGTGACGGGCTTACAGATGGGCACCTGACCCAAGCCAAGCCAATGAGATGCCTCTCTGGTTATCATAGGAGGGCAGAAGCTTTTTCTTGTCCAGGAAGGGTTAAAGGATGTGAGGTTAAGCTGATGAGTCACTTGCCTAGGGCTGCTGAGGGAAGGAAGGGACAGCCTGTCTGGGAATGCGCCAAGGGCCAGAGTCCCGAGGAGGAGGGTGGGACATTGAGGTTTCATGATACTGTCTAGCCCTTGGTCCCTCTAAGCCTGATGAGCTATCCCAGGGCTTTCAAGGATTTATGTTTGTGTTTCCATCACTAAAAAGGCCTGGCAAAGACAGGGAAGACGGACAGAAAAGGTGGTGTGCAGAAAGCACTTGGGAAGGCCATGGTGAGCCTGGCAGCTGTTTCTGCAGAATGAGGAGACCATGTGATGGACCTTCCCCACTGTACCCGGCCCACCTCAGAACACAGCTGGGAGCCTTAAACACTGCAGCCTTGCAGTCCTAGGCTCCCACCATCCTCCTGATTAGCTAGGCCCACAGGCATGTGCCACGTGTTCTGCTAACACCATACCTGGCTAATTAAAAAAAGAATTTGCAGAGATAGGGTCTCCCTATGTTGTGCAGGGTAGTCTGTGAACTGCTAACTTCAGATGATCCTCCTGCCTCGACTTCCAAAAGCGTTGAAATTACAGGCATGAGCCACTGCACCTGGACAGGGTGAGGCATTTCAGGGGGAGCCATGGAGGCTGTGGTTGAGGTGAGACTCTGGATCGACCCTAAAAGGTAGCTGTTCAGGTTTGTGAAGCAACGTGTAAACAAGCCACGGGTTGAGCTATGCCCGAAGCAATCCAAGGACAGGAGAGACAGGCTGGGCTCTGCAGGGAGGAGGGACAGCAAGAGCAAAGACATGGTGTGAGAACAGAGTGTTTCTGGGAGACCATCACTGCTTGAATTCAAATGTCACGGTGTGATGTGCAGCAGTGAAGCCATGCATCGGGCCAGTTGGCGGAGGCTCTCGATGGCAGGGTTTCATACGATGTGACAGGCACTAGGGTCTATTTTCCGAAGGCAGAAGGAGAGGAAGACAATCCACAGGGTTGTCCAAGAATAGTTAAAGGATGAGGAGACCCAGGTAGAGTGTTAGGTCAGAAGCTGATGAGTCACTTGCCTAGGGAGAGAGGCTGAGAAGGGTCTCCAGGAGAACGGGGCCTGGGTGGGGCAGGGAGCAGCCCCAGATACTGCCAAGGCTCTGAGCAAAAGCTGGCTGAAGAATGCAAGCCTGCCTCAGCAGCTTAACTCTCTCACTTCAAGCCTGCTCATACACTTGCAAAGAAATCAGAATTTCGGGGACCCAAACAAAGCTGGCCTGAGCCTGGGCTCTGCCTGGCATTGGGATGCCCAGAGCACTGGCCTGTCCCCAGATCTGTAGAGGTCCCCGTCTCTTGGAGAGACAGCTTCCCAGAGGCCACCTCTTTGAGGTTTATTTTTAAAGATGTTTGATGTTCTATACTTTGGAGGAAGTAAGACAGAACCGCCAGGAGAGGAACTCACAAGTTCTGAATATCCATTTTCTGTTCCTCAAAACCAGTTAGTTCCCTCCCAACCATCCTGACCGTGGCCTGACCAAGGTCCCCAGCTCAATGGGGCAGGAGGGAAGGCAGAGACACTTCCAAGTGGGAAGGCAGAGAGCATGGGGGGAATGGGGGCAGAGGCTCCACCTGCCTTTCAGGGGGACAGAGGGTAAGTAGCTGGTGCCCAAAGGAACACATGTCCCATTGCTGCAGTTGAGCATGCCAGTGAGAGAGGGCAGAGGCCAGCACACAGCTGCCAGAGGGCTGCAGCCCCCTCCCTGCCTGGTCTCACAGTGAGAGCCAGGCCTTTCTCCATCACAACCTCCCATTATGGCAGCTCTTGGCAGGGTCAGCCAGCACAGGGACAGACAACTGCAGTAACAGCAGCAGGAAAGAAGCAGTAAAACTTGTTTGCCAACTCTATCAACACACGTGGCACACCACAAGGATATACAGGAGATGTGTACAGCACACACACACAAACACACAGCAGAGGCCACGCCCTCTGCAGAACATGGGCAGTGCTACTCAGAATGAGCATGAGTGCAGTGGAGTTGGCACAGCTGGGATAAGTTTACCCCAGAGCATCACCCAACCCCTGGAGCACACACCCACTCCCAATAACTCCACTTTGTATGAATGTAATTCTCTAATAAGCCACACATCCCCAGGCCTCAGGAGTATGAGCTGGGGACCTTAAGTGGTATGCCCCTCAAGGAAGCTGACTGGAGCCACTTGCACTCAGTCGGGGGCCTTGGTCTGGGTGGTGCCCCGCACAGGGACCATCACAGGTGCAGAACCAGCAGACTGTCCCTTAGTTGTCTATTGAGGACATCATCCGGCTGGGAGGAGGACATGCCCAGGAGGCAGCTGGGGAAATAGGGACCAGGCTCCTGGTGCCTCGACTCTGCCCCAGCCCTGAGACTTTCCCCCTTTGCGGTCCTGAGTTTTCTTTCCATCCAACGGGAAACACTTGACAACTTCACAGTCCCCAAATTTAACCAACCGGGGAAAAACTTCTACCCTACCATAAAGATCCTGGTACTCTATACCTCCCAAATCCCTAAGGGGAAAAATGGAATTAAAAACCTCATCAATAGAACATCAGTAGGTTGGGCTTGTTGGCTCATGCCTGTAATCCCAGCACTTTGAGAGGCCGAGGCAGGTAGATAACCTGAGGTCAGGAGTTCAAGACTCTGTCTCAAAAACAACAAAAAACAGAGCATCAGTAGAACAAAAAGAAAAGCAAGAAACAGTTGGGAAGTGTGGTAAGGAGTGCAGTATTAAATGGCAGGTTTGACACAGCCTAAATATCAATAATCTCAATGGAAGTGAATGGGGGTCTGCTGAGGGGACTCACACCTGTAATCCCAGCACTTTGGGAGGCTGAGGTGGGAGGATTGCTTGAGCTCAGGAGTTTGAGACCAGTCTGGGCAACATGGCAAAAACCCATCTCTATAAAAAAAAAGAAAAAATTGGCCGGGCGTGGTGGCTCACACCTGTAATCCTAGCACTTTTGGAGGCCAAGGTGGGCAAATCACCTGAGGTCAGGAGTTCGAGACCAGCTTGGCCAACAGGCAAAACCCCGTCTCTACTAAAAATGCAAAAATTAGCCAGGCATGGTGGTGCATGCCTGCAATCTCAACTACTCAGGAGGCTGAGGCAGGAGAATTGTTTGAACCTGGGAGATGGAGGTTGCAGTGAGCCGAGATCAGGTCACTGCACTCCAGCCTGGGTGACAGAGTGAGACTCCATCTCAAAAAATAAATAAATAAATATTAGGAGGCTGAGGCGAGTGGATCACGAGGTCAAGAGATCGAGCCCATCCTGGCCAACATGGTGAGACCCTATCTCTACTAACAACAAAAATTAGCCAGGCATGGTGACATGCTCCTGTGGTCCCAATTGCTTGGGAAGCTGAGGCAGGAGAATCGCTTGAACCCGGGAGGTGGAGTTTGCAGTGAGCTGAGATCATGCCACTGCACTCCAGCCTGGCGACAGAGCAAGACTCTGTCTCAAATAAATAAATAAATAAATAAATAAATAAATAAAAATTAGCCTGGTATGGTAGTGCATGCCTGTCCCAGCTACTTGGAAGGCTGAGGTGGGAGGATCTATTGAGCCTGAGAAGGCAAGCTTCAGTGAGCCTTGATGGCGCCACTGCACTCCAGCCTGAACGACAGAATGAGACAGGCCCTGTCTCAAAAAACAGAAGTGAATGGGCCATGACCTTCATGACCCTGACTCCTGAAGCTGGACAGAACACACCAGACAACATCTGGCCAGATATGGTTTATACAAGTCAGCTACAGGGAAACAATCGCTCCAGGAAGCCCCTGGTTCTGGGTTGGTGGGCTCAGGTGGTAATTTGGAGAGACAGTGGCAAATTGAGTCACTGAGTCAAATTATGCAACATTTTTCTGCCTGCATCCAGAAGGATAGTCTCCCTTGATTGCCTGGGAAGGCAACTGGGGCAAATCGGTATCCATGGGCCAAAGGCAAGCACTTGGAAGGCAGCTCTAAGTATTATACTCTCCTGTCTTAACTCTCCTACAGGAAAACACCCTCTCCCACCTCTGTCAGCCAAATAGGGTCTCTGCCTCTTGATGGGCTGCACCAGACCCCCAAGCATCACACCAACCCAGATGTTTATTCTTCCCCAGGAATAAAGCCCAGTTCAAACCAGGCATACACAGGGCCATCGATAACGAAAAGGGGCTCAGCTTTGTTTTCTTTATCCAGAAGCTCTTCAAAATGCTGAAAATATTCTCATCAGCTCACTAAGCGGGATAGTCCACAGAAGCTCTTATATTCCATATAAGCTCTGCCTGCTCAGCTAGAACTCTGTGGTCAAAGCTAGGACACACGGCCAGTGCAGGAACCTGTGTTGCCCCTGACTCTCTCCAGTTCCTGACCCCCACGCACAGCTGCAGTAGGAGCACATAGTTTCCTTTGCTGAAGTGCTTGGTGCTTTCCCAGGCAGGACCTCACTAGCTTATAATTACAAATGATACGCTGGGATTGGTTCTGCCACAGGCAGGTAACACTTCTTTAGTCCAGGATCTCCTGCAGGAGAAGGGCAGGCTGGCTATAAGCTCTTGTGGCCTTAATGATACAAAGACCTTAAGAGACAAAGGGGCCACCATTAGAGGCTAGTCAGATGGCGTGCAGGAGGTGGGAGGTTTCTAGAATGGGTGCAGGAGAGCAGATGCCAGAACAGGGTGGAAGAAGGGAGTTTAGAGAAGGACACAGGAATTAAAACTGGATTCATTCATTTGTTCATCTACTGCTAAATGTGGGATGCAGTGCTGAGAGACAACACTGGCTGTGCCCACAGTCTAGCTGGACGGGGGGCAAGAAAAGGGGCAACTTTATTTGCCATGGGATCAATGAGGAGAGAAAGTTGTGCCCTGGACACCAAGAGCAGCTCTCACAGCCTCATCCCAGAGGGAGAGGCTGGGCCAAGGCCTGAGGCAGGGAGAGGAGGTGGGGAAGGAGTGAGGCAGAAGTATTTATTTGCAGGGCTGGAGGAGGGCTGTGACCCAGCCACACAGGGCAGGAAATCTCCCAGACAGGAGAGGGCCTGGGGGATGGGCAGGCATCAAAGGACAGAGGCTCAGCTCAGCAGCCCCAAGGATGGGAAAGTAGCCATTTTCTCCAGGCTGGGCCACCTCAGTTCAACCTTACTCTAGCCTCAGTTTCCCCATTGCACAGAAGGGAAACAAAAAGGCAAAGACTTTGAGTTCTGGGAATGAAAGGCTCAGCCATGGCCCAGACCACCACTCCTTATAAAACAGGGTGGATGCCGCCGCCGCCACTGGTTTTGGCTGGTGAGTGGCCCATCTAACCTCTTTGAAGATGAAACATGCTCAGGCCTAATGAGGAGTCAGTCGGCTGGGGTGGGAGTGGAGCCCAGTCACCTGCCCCACCTGGCCCCTCCCAGTTAGAACAGCGCCCAGCCCAGGGGCCTGTTTCACACTGCTCTGCCCATGCACCCTCCTCTGCCCAGGGCTCCCTCACTTGGAGACAAAGGTGAAGGGGAGTGCAGCAGAATCTAAGGTGTTCTTGTGCTGCAGCAAAGGCCTTCTGAGAGCTGCCTGGGCCTCACCTGCCCCTCCACTGCCCTGGACCAGAGCACCCTACCCTTTTGGGGCTCTGCCTAGCTGCATAGTGCTTTCATGTTTTCAGGCCAAACAGGTCATTTCCAATATGGTGGCCGACCAGGGGGATGCTTTCAAACCTTCTTTAGGTGTGTGAGAACAGTCCTCAAAAGAAAGGGCACCCTCAGCCTGCTCACTGCCCCTCTTCCCCAGCTGCTGAAAGGACGTCTTCTGCCGCCTGGACAGCCTCTGAACTGCAGTGAGCCTGGCAGGAACCACGTCTCAGCTAGGTAAGGCCTGGGACTGGCCCCCTAAGTACCTGCAGGCCACGCTCTCCACTCACCCAGACATGAGCCTCTTTCCTCTCTCTTGCCACTCGCCTTCTTCTTCCTTCCCCAGTGCCCAGGCCTCCTGAGTCCTGCTCAGACAGACCACCCCAGGGCTGACCCCCACCTCCTTTCTAGAAGCCTCATAACCAGCCTATAAGCAGCTTCAGTTTCTGGGGAAATACTTGGCACAGGAGAAGGGGCATGCAGACAGCTCACGCTTTCCTGGGAGGCAGCAGCCTCATAAATGCACTAATATTAGGCACAACTGAAAGACAACCTTCCCCACATGTTCTGGGAGAGGAGCGTGTACCTGGGGATTAGCATATCTCCTTAATGGTTCATTTGCGTTAATTAATTAATTAATTATCTGATTTGCAGAGTGATGCCCAAAGGTTGGACTTCTGTATCATCAACATCCAGCCTCCGAATGAGTTTTTGGAATTACCACCTTCCCCAATTAAGATGATCCCTATCTCCATTCTTCATCCCAGAGTCCCCAGGGGCAGGAGAGTGCACCAAGGTTTAAGCCCTGCTCCTCAGGAAGCTGGGCCTGGGATGCCTATTCTGAAGCCCTCGTAGCCACCATCATCCCTGCTCTTATGTTCACCCAGGGACTCACAGTCCTCACTGTTACAAACTCCACAGTCTGCAGGCCCTGGGGCGCCCTGTTGCTCCTGACTCCCACCTAAGCTTGGCTTTCAGGAAAGCTGGGCAATGTCTGGAAAGTCAGTTAGGGAGAACTGGGGACAGGCCAAGGACTCAGCCTCATTGACAACCATAGTGAAAATGAACAGGGAGACTGGGCCAGCTCTGACTGCAGAAGGAGTGTCCTGCATGTCTAGACAACCTTGCACTTATCCTGATGTACTCCCATTCCCCTGCCAGCATTCAGCTCCTGCATCCTCCCTCAACTGTGCTGTAAGACTAACGGACAACCCCAGATTGACAGAAGGCACATGAGCATGGACAGGCGGACATCGGCCCCCGTACAAGGTGTCCCCTGCCCCTGTGGCACGGATAACAGCACAAACTATAGGAGAGATGCTGAGCACCTCCGCCCAACACAGGGAGGCAGCCTGTTGGCCTCTCCTTGGCATGGCTCTGGGGTTCTAGAAGGACCCACAGGCCATGCAATGTGGACAGCCCTACCTTTCCCTGCTACCTGTGGTGGTGGTGCAGGCAGGTGCCGGGTGCTTACCTTGTGGTCTAGCTCGGCACTGGCCTTTGGCTGTTGCTCCTGGCAGGGTGGCAAGGGCACAGAGTCCAGGTACTGCCTGAGAGATGATGGCCTCATGAGGCCCAGGAGCCGGCTGAGCAAGGACAGCTGGGGAGGAGAAGGGAGACTGTCACTCACACAGGGTGGAGGCTGAGAGCTGAGGTGCTCCCAGGACTTGGCCCGGACACCTCAGCTGTGGCAGTGGGTCAGAGCACTGGGTTCCGAGACCTGGGCCCCACTCTCCCTTACGAACTGTGACCTCTCAGATCCTAAGTGTTCTCATCTGTAAAGTGGACCCCACATACTTCCCAGGAGAGGAGGGACACCCACATATACCCAGCCCCCCCCACCACCCACACACACACCCACTCACCCACAGAGACCTATATACCCACTCATCCCCCACACAGACCCCACACCTACCCACTCACACACCCACTCATCCTCCCCACACCCAAACATAAACAGCCCTCTTACCCACCCACAGACCCACATCCACACCCACCCACCCCCAGCCACTCATCTCCCGCAGACCCACACCCCCTCCCACCCACCCTGTAGGCCCACCATCCCCCGCATCCCTGTCTTTTGGTTTAACCCTTCGCTGTGGCGGCTTGCAACACCATGAAGAAGAGAGACCACAGACTAAGTCCCCAACCATCCCTCACTGTGAGCAATGATCATGACCGTCTTCGTTCCACCTAGCCTGTGTCTTCAGCCCCTGCCTTCCACTCCCCTTCCTGCCCTTCTCCTTCCAGAGAATTTTAAAGCAAATACAAACATTGTATCATTTTACTCATAAAGAACTTCTACAGAAAAGATAAAGATTTCCCCCAATCTAATCCTAATACCATTTATTTCCTAACAAAATCATCGAGACTTCCTTATCGTCATCCAACACCTGTGTTCAGTTTTTTCTGTCTCTAAAATGTCCTCTAACAGTTGGTCTGTTTGAAGGGAGATTCGCCAGAGGCCTACACAGTACATTTGGTTGACTATGTCACCTAATCTATTAGCTGCCCCGCCCCCAATTTAGTTTTTGAATACACTGCCCAACCCCTCTGAACAAATAGGCTCTGAACCCCTCTGGAGGGAATGTGACCTGTGTAAGTTCAGGTGTCTACAGTTAGCCACTCCTTCTGGCTCAGTCCATGTACCCAATTTGGGCAGCCTGGGCGCAGCCCCAGCAAGGACCGCCCAGCAGCCCTGAAGCTGACTCTTAGCTGGAGCAGAGGCAGGCAGGCTCCCAGCCCTTGGCCTCTGAGGCCACAGCAGCCGTTGGGGCAGAGTCAGGGTAGTTCACAGAGGCGCCATCTCTTTTAATGGCACAGGAGCAGGGTAGCCACGGGCTAGGAG